ACAAAGGAGTGGTCTGAGGTCAACTCTGTGAATGTCCTGCAGTGACCCACGAGCCAGGACTTGGACTTCATTCAACATCCATGTAAACATCTGGAAAATACCATCAATACTCTGATAAGGTTGTTAAAAAAAGATTTAGATGAGATTGAAAAACTCAGTTTTTCTTATGTATAAAACCCCTTCTACCTACTGATGTAGAGATGTCGGGTTCAGCTGTTGTCATGAAGTATGTCGTTCTGTAATGAGTTCACACTTTCGTGTTTTAAAAAACCAAAACAATCCAAGCTTTTTTTTTTCTTCAAACCCTTTATTGAACTGAGTGAACAGGATCTGATTCTAAATCAGACCAAACTTTTAGGACTCTGTGACTCAGGTGTGACCCGTCAGCCTGAGGTGAGCAGCTGACGACAACAACAAGGTGGATCACTGCTGCTGAACAGCCACGTGATGTGAATAATTACTGATGCATCTCCACAGAATGAGTTCTGGTGAGAAATGACCGGCAACAACAAGTGAAGTGTCAGCACAGACCACTGGGAGGAACAGCAACATCACAGTCCTCCATCATCACATGTTCACATTTATTCAACCTTCACATTCACACCTTTTTACACACATCACAGACTCATGAAAGCTGCCAAAATTAGCAAACTACACCAGTAACTTTTGAAAAGAAAAAGAAGAAGAACATCAGCGCAGCGTTTGTATCCTTTCCACAAATACATTCCAGCACAAAGCAGTCTCTGCAGGTTAAGAAGCTGAAGCATCATCAGGTCAAGTCTCCAGGTATCAACAAGTGGTTTGTGGCATCAGAGTAAACATGACGTACGCGGCGGCGGCGGCGGCGGGTGTGTAGACGAGGGCGTCGGCAGCGTGCTGGACTCTAACTTTTCCGTAAACTGACATCTGCGCTGGTTAGCAACGGTGACAACGAGGTGCTCTCTGACGCGTCTTCTCTCTTGAGGATGAGAAAAGCCTCACGGCTGATTCCAAGTAACTCTCGAAGTCCAGTGTTCTCCAGCTGAAACACAGAACATCTGTTAGGATCACCTAGTTACTAGTCCAACACACACCTAGTTACTAGTCTAACACAGAGCTGTACTGACTAGTTACTAGTCCAACACAGAGCTGTACTGACTAGTTACTAGTCCAACACAGA